ATGAAAGGGATCTTCACACCTACAAGAGCTAGAAATTTTAATCTTCTTGTTATGCTTCTTCCCCGTGATAGTTCTTTGCATGTGTAGTGTTTATTTCTTTATGATCTGAGAGTAACATAATCACCCATGTGATTTACTGATCTGGAGGCACCAAACAGATTATGTAGCTTGTGGTGTGGAATTAGTCCTCTTGGTCCACCTCACTAAGAAAATCTGGTCTTGTTGGAAATCCTATATGGTGGTGCCTTTAATGAAAAGATATTTCTGTCAACTGTTAGTGGCCTCCGCCTTCTGGCAGTTGCATGAGTGGGTCTCCTCAGAGGTCATAGGCTCCTCAGAGCTATGTAGGCAAAAAGTAACTTTTAATGTCTCACTTGTCCTATGTACTTCTGCTAATTAAAAAATATATATTTTTTTTTGATACAGTGTGCTCAGGAGCCTTAGATAGTAAATTAGATTGGATCTATACAAATAAATTCAATGAGTCCAGACCCTTTTCTTGTTAACTAGACTGATTTCTCTGTTCCTATATCTTTGTGTATTTTAACACTAAAATGTTAAGCTCTCCTTCTACAAATAAGTAGTGGAGTTAGGTCTCCAGTCTACAAGGTTACAGTGTGAGAACAAAAGAAGTATTTTCCTTGGGATTTCTGTAGACTCCTCCCTCCTCTCCTCCCCCTCCCCCAAATACATAAAAACATCTCCACTAAAATGTCTGGATCGAAGAAGAAAAGTATTTTCCTCCAACAGAAGCTTGATTAATGGATTTATTGTTTGTACAGATTCTTGTCAGGAAGCCATATGGCTTGAGGAAAACAAAGAGGAAGTGGCTGAGGTTGAGAATCAGATTTAATAGGGGTCCCTAAGGACAGAATGTGGCTCTTATCCTTACTCCTTCCCACTTGGTTTGTAAGGGGGCCTGAGAAGACGTTTAGTGCTTCAGTGGAACTAAAGATAATACTGTTCTGTTTGTCTGGAGGTACCAGTCCCCACCACTGGCTCAGCATCACAGCTCCTCAGTTTTCAGGTTAAAAATCAACTATTCTTTTTCCTTTTGTGTAAAGTGCTTTGGAGTAGTTAACAAGGAACGCTAGTTGAAATGTTTACTGTTAGTATCTTGGCAGTTGATCAGTTTGCAATAGATGAAGACAATACTAGCATCTTGCAACTAAGCTCTGATAGTCCGGGGTGAGGTGATATTTCTTTCCTTTCCCCCCACCCTTCTTTCCTCTCTCTACCCCTCCCTCCCCCAGCGAAATTCAAGCATATATAGTCTCCAAATAAACTGAATGGCCATCTATATCCTACAATCAGATTTATTTTCCTTCTCTAACATGTGTTTGGGGCTTGATAAGTAACTGGGGCTCTAGTACTGATGGTATCTGTATGGTGGGTTAGATGAATTTTTGACTCTAGTTATGATTATTTGATGAATGAACCTGAATAGAGAATCTAAGGCAGTGTTCTGTGATGTTATCGCAGCAACTGTGTTAAACATCTTTAACAAGCTTTTCTTCCAGTGAAGTTACAGCTTCTTTGCTGAGATGCATAAACTGACCAAAATCTGCTTCTGTTTATTTCAGTGCTAAAATTAAATGTTCATGTGAACCATCACTAATTTTTGGTGGGTCCACAGAATCTGGAAAGCACAAGACATCACTTAAATATATATATTTTTTCTGACAATTCAGAATGGCTTTATACACGCTGATCTAAGCTATTGTAATTAACTGTATTTATTGTATTTGATAGCAAGTGGGAAAGGAGCTTAGTACCTAGAGGGCAGTAATAAATGAATTAGTGTTAAAGGCGTACAGAGCTTTGAATTACACTTTCTGTGTAATGCTACATGGTTTCATGATGTAAAAGCATTAAAAATGATTGTGCAGCTCATGATGTGGACCTAGTTTACCGCTGCCTGCATGTTGGATGCTAAAATCTGTTGCTTCCTGTGCTTAGCTGTTGAATGAGACAAATGGATATACCCAAAACAATTCAGGCTCCTGGAATGTGTGACAGCATTTGCATGAAATGGAGTGCAGGAATCTGAAGAAAAAAAAAAAAAAAAAAAAAAAGAACAAAATGATCTTAAACAGTTACAAAAAAAATTTGGGGAGGGAGAGAAGGAGCAGACATAAACCTGTGTGTGTTCAGTTGGCAGAAAGCTGAATGTATAGGTAGCTAAAAATAAGATGCACACCCACCAAATTTGTATCGTGACAGCAGATGCCTTGAATAAACCAAACATTGCAACATTTAGGGGAAGGAGTGCTCTACTTCCAAAGTGATAGAGTTAACAAGGGCTTTTTTCATCACTGCAACACACGATCTGTACCACATACCAAACCAGCCTGGGCTGATGTGAGTTGTCTTAGTGAACTTACAGCAGCAGCATCCTCTTTCACTGAAAAATTTCCCTCATCTTGTGCCAGGAGTATTCTGTTTCTGGCACCATTGTTATTCCTCAGTCAAGTCATAAGAGACTTCCTTATGTCCTAGTTATGGAAGACAGATAATCAAACAGCACAGCCAGTTGTTGGGGTTTTTTTCAGTATCTGTATTGGTCTCCTAGGGAATCATTTAGTTGGGAATTTTACTCTTACTGGAGCATGGAGCTATTACTTCCACAGCTGCTTCTTTTTTTTTTACAAAAAAAAAAAAAGTCTCTGCCCTTCCCAGAATCTTGTATAAGAAAATTCATGCTAGTACAACTTGTCTTCCCAAAGTGAACGTGAGCTAAGGAGACTGCAAAGCAATATTGCTTTGACTTCTGGCATAGTAGTGCTTTGTGTGAATGTGATGGAAAGCATATTTTGTTCAGTATAAATACCTCCACTGTCAAAAGCTGTCTGGTTTAAAGCAGCTACCATAAGTGCAGTTCTAAACTTGAAATTGGAAGCTGAAATTCCCTTCCTTTTCACTGGCCTCTGGACTAAAACAAGGCTGATTCAGAGAGCTGAAGTTAAATGGTTAAATTTGATGTGCTGATGGAAGTCTCTCTGCCCTCATGCCCTCCCATCTAAAGATATCTAGTTTTTATATCCCTGTACTCACTTTCCTCCTCTCCCTTCAGTAATCCTATTAAAATGAAAACAGTAATAAACCAAAGTTATTATCCTGATTTTTTTTTTAAACCTTTTCCTCTGCCAAAAGTAAACACATACAAAGCCTATTAACTTCTATGTGCCAATGAGGAAGCAGCCACTCACTCCACTGGATGACTGGAAACGGGAGAGGGGTAGCTCTCTGTTTGTTCCAGGTTATGAACATGTTTGTGCATGTGTACTCACTCTGAGACTGAGGGGGTTTTCCGCACTGATGTGCGCTCTTCTGGGTCGAAATTGCATGCAAGGGTAGGTTTGTAACTCTTTTATACAACTCATCATAAACCTTGAAGTTTAGGGCAAGCAACTCTTTACATGCTGAAACAATGCTGATTACGGTCTTCAGCTCTTATCAATATTTGGCTCTTATCAGTAGTTTATTCTGTTTCATTAGACCTGGTGTTCCTGTGCCGTTGCTTTCTAAAACCCTTTGGCATTCTCACTGCTACCATAACTCTCCATTTTCTTAGACATCTGCGTTACGGCATTTATCGACTTTTGAGTTAGTAAACCACTAACACTTTCGTTCTGTTGTATCAAAAAACTTTGATAATGAGCTTAGAGAAGATCATTGCTCTGCTTGCTCTCAGCCATCCACTTACAACAATGATTTTCTTAAAAGTTTAAAAGACAAAAATGTTCCATCCTATCTGCACCCCAGCCCCAACTTAAGTAAAAGAGTAAAACTGAGATGATACATGGTTGAGCTCACTCAGGGAACTATAGATCTCTCGCATGGTCAGCCAGCAGTTAGGCAAACTGACAGTTTTTTTCTTTCTATTCTGTTGCTGTGTGATCCATTGACTCTTTGGTTCTGGTTGCTCTTGATGCCTATAAATGCCCTCATGATCCGGATAGGAGAGGTGTTTGACTCCAGCATCCATGGAGGAAGAGTAATAAGTTAGATTTTAAAGAAGCACCAGTATGAGTATGTGAAGGTTCTGTATTTAATGAATATAGCTTTGTGAATGAAAGCTAAGTAATAGACTGTGGTGCTGAAAATAATTTAGGACGTACCTTAATGTCAGCTGCTCCTGGGCATCCTATTTTGAAGTCTTCTGTCATTATGATAAAAATAATTACCCCCATAAGAGTTCAGTGTATAGTGCTTGTGATGCAGTATTTTACAACTGGCCAATCCTTTCTTAAATCTTTAAGAGGTTTTTGGCCCCCTTGTGTCATGCTTATACTGGCGTTGCTGCTTATTGTATTTTGTCATACAGCTCTGTCAGATACTAGGAGAAAAACAGTTTGCCATGTCAAAATTCAGTGACTGACAACAGTGGAAGAGGAGAAGCTGAAAGACTGGAGGAAACTTCTCAATTCAGAGCTTTTCTTTTGCACTGCTGTGAGGGTACAAAGCTTCCATTTAGTGTTAAGCATAATAGATGTGTTCCACTAAAGTATTATTCAGAAAGCTTTTGGTAAAGGTTTAAAAATAATCACTTTTTCACACGTTACACTTGACTATGACATGCTATTAGGCAGTGTTTGCAAGCTTGGCGCGATGATGGTGATGAGCATCATTGTAGTAAGCATCCCTTCCAAGCGTATTAATATTAATCTAAACTTTTAACTAGCAGTTTGGGATATGTTACCCTTTGTTTAGCTTTTGTTTGACTCTTTATGCATGCATTGGACATGATTTACCACTACAAGAGAGTCCAGGGTATGCAGTTCTAGAGGACCTGGAGGTTTTTACATGTGGAACACCTCCAGTTTGAGGATTATTTTCTTTACAAGTAAAGCTTGTAAGTAATTGGGGGTATATCCATGTCTACAGCTGCTAACTGGAAACTGGATTTTCAAAAGCTTTAAAGGGGGGAGAGGGAATACAATTTTACACTCATCAAGGTGATTTTACTAACATATATGAATGTTTCATGTTTTTTCTAGCAACTGACCTTCTCAGCAGAGTTGGTGCTTGTATCTGGAGTAGAAGACTGTACTAAGCCCACTGCATGATCAATTTCCTGTCCAGGTATGAAGTTATGACACAAAATTTTCAAATAAGAATTTTCCTTGTCCTTCCTGAAGTTACTTGTGCTGTAAAACTTTATAAAATTAATAAGTATACAAGATATATGTAAATGACCATCATGTGTATGCATGTATGGCCCCTCCAGCTGTGTGGCGGGGAGACCCAAGGCTAACTTGCCGCTAGGGAATGTGCCCTCTGTGGGAGGAGATTCTTTAGTTGTTGGGCTCCTCTAGTTGTCGGACCTTCTTAGGCAGCAGCACTCTGTGCCTGCAGGAGCTGATTGGTGACTTGCGGATCAAGCAATCAACCGTGGCTAGCACATGAAGGCAGGAGAGGAGAAAGAGCTCTTGCTAAACTGAAGATGAAAACTGCAAGTCCAGCTATAGGAAAGTCAGTTACATGATGTCATGCTTATACCAAAGACTAGCTAGATTTGGTATCAGGGGCGTAACATATCCAGCTCAATTAAACCTTACCAACTAGCATGAAATCACATTGAATGTGTGCTGTATGTGTCCATGGCCATATGCGTACCCTGTGCTTGAAGCCTGTTCTGCCAATGTGTACTCTCACAGGGGATCCAGAATGAGTTTTGGGATTGCATGCTGCAGCTGCCTCTAATTATGCTACAGACGTACTCTGAGCAGAGGGCCCTAATCTTCTTTGTGGTTGAGTTCTTGACTCTACGGAGTCTTTGCTCCCTTTGGGGAGGGGGTTATCTTATTTGTTTTTCTAAAAATAATTTTTGCAGAAGTACTATGACTGCACTAAAAAAGCCTGCAGCGGAAGCTCTTTTCTGTTCTTAACATGAATGTCCATTTAAAGCAGTGCTCAGTATAAGGAGGCATCCTCAGCTTGGAAACTGGTTCTTGTCAGGAAAAAATATCATCTGCTACTGTTAAGTTTCCTTGACATGTCTTCTCAGACATTGCCAATGCTGTTAATTTTTGATGTATTGGAGAGAATTTTGAATTATATGCTATAAAAATATGGTTTCAAAACCTGTATTTTATGATACAAATAAAATTGAAGCAAGTGAGGGGGGAACTCTTCAAATGTATCGTGGAGTCTATGAACTGAATGCAGTTTCTTTCTCTAGTTTGTCACAGTGTACAGGGCCTTGCTTAAGGCTAATCTGTGTTATGTATGTATGTCAATTTTTAAGTGGTAGATTACTATACCAGCCCCATCCCTTTCAGTGTTTCTTATGTATAGCATACCATTGTACTGCAAATACAGTATTTTGTGGTGGCATTCTGTCGATGATTCAAGTAGCTGAGGAACCAGTATAACTAAATAGGATATAGTGAAATACTTTGGCTGTTTACTGAAAAGAGAGTTTGTCTAATGCTTTAATTCTGTGCATCTGAAGTAGAGGCAAGCATAAATGTATAACAACTTTTTCTTACTATGGAAAAGACCGAAGTACACTGTCATTGATGTTTCTTCCAACCCTATGAAGATAGGCAGTAATTTTGTATGACTGAAAGATACTTGCTTCTGTTGTCCTTAATAATATGATGCTCGTGTTAAGTAGTAAAAATATATACATACATACGTATGCATGTGTGCATACATACACATATAGATATATTTATATACACACACTCTCTACTCAGAGAGCTTCTCTCTAGGTTTGTATTTTCTTGGAGCCTAGCTTAGACTGACACTGCTTTAAGTTGTCTTGCCCTTGGAGCTTTTTTTGCCTGTTCGTTAAAGGATTTTCATTCCCACGGTATAATCTCTTTTATATGAATCAGTTAATCAGTCTTAAAACAGACAACTGCAGTGTGTCAGCTGTTGCCACAACCAACACGACATGATGTTGCTGTAGAATATGATGAAGAATATGCAGCAGGATTAGGACCAGCAATGAAGATGATCCCGTTGAGTGAAACGGCATGCAGAGTTATGAAGATACAGGTCTCCTATTTTTTCCGGGTGGCTTTTAGCCAGATCATATATGTATGTTAACCTGTAACTCCAGGAAACTGAAAAGGTGATGGTATTGAATCAAGTTTTCTTTTGCCAAGTTAAACGCATTTAAGTATTGGTTGTGACTACTACCAAAGTAAATTCCTTTCAATGGAGCAAGTCTGCAACTAGGTGCCAGGGGCCTGGAATCACACTCCTTTATTTTTTGTCACTTCGAAATTAGCCATGCAAGCTACGTTCTCTAGAACATTTTATTGTACCAGAAGAGAAATTACATGCCTGCAGAAAATTCATCAAGGTTGTGCTCAACTGTCCCCATGTGAGGACAGATACCTATTTACCTTCACTTGTTCTGAGTAAACCAATTTCTTTTCCTCATAAGCATCTCTAATATATTATCATTATGTGACTTCAGTTTGCTGTCTGTTGTGAGGTGTGAGACAAAGGGTCAGCCTCTAGTATGTGGTTTGTTAAAGCACTTGTTCCCAGCTGAAATCTTGGGGTTGTAATAGAGCTGTGAAAACGGCAGTCAAGGAAAGGCAGTCAAGGAATAAATCACACGTTAGAAGATATTATAAAGGAACAGAAAACAACACAAGATATTGTTATACCCCTGTATAAATCTGTGGTTCACATCTTGGACACTGTTTGCAGCCCGGTTCCCTTATCTCAGAGAATGTAGTAGAACTGGAAAATGATTAGAGAAGTGTGATAAGGAGGATGAGAGATGAGTGCTTTAGCAAGCTAGGACTTTGCAGTCCAAAAGAGTTAGCTTAATGTAAGGGAATAGGAAGGAAGCCTATGGAGTTATGAATAAAATGAAGAAAGTAGATGGGGTTCACTTTGTTCACTCTTGCAGCACAAGAACCAGAAGACATCAAATGAGGCTAATAGGAACCTAGTTCAGAACACAAATGAGATAATTCTTCACACTACAGTCAGTAGATCTGTGGAGTGCTTTGCCGAGGAGCCATGGAGAATAGAGAAACCCATTTGAGGCTAGTAAATAGAAGTACATCTGCAAGTTCCCAAGCTGAGAGCAGTGGGTAGCCAACAGCATGTTCTGGAGAACTGTAAAGTGTTCTTGCCATGTTTTTGTTCTTCCTTAGGCATCTGCTTATGACTCCTGGTTTGTCTTGTTTTTACTGGTTAGGAATTTTAATGTCTAATAACTTCATGTCTTCTGGTTTATTGAGGCAAGGTCTCAGCCTTTGCCACGACATCTGCCAAAGTTGCTAGTCCCTGTCCCATGTTCCTCTGAAGGGATGCTACACTTCCAGCTTATGCTGTTCCCTCATGCAATTCACATAAGACAACTCTCTTCTTGTGCTGAGACTTGCTAGTGATGTAAATGGTTGTCGCCTTTTCGATGTTGTCGTCACGTGGCAGCTGTCATCTAACTGCTTGCTGGCAAAAGTAAGATGCTGCTGGTCAGAAGAAATGTGTTCATTATCCTTCATCTGGTCCGTAACTTTCTTTTTTAATATCATCAGATCATGAAAATCTTAGTCACCCTCAAAGGTGATTGATTTCCTTATAGGGGTTTCACAAAGACCTGCTCTGAAAAGCTGGTCCCAGTGACCTGCTTGCAGGATGACACATTCCTTTTGGAAATGGGTTAATGGGCTGGATGAACACTTGGTCTTGGTCCAGTGTGCCTGTTTTTATGATCTTCAGGGGCTGTAGGTTCTCTATGAAATTGTCTTTACAGCTTTGCAAGGAAATAGTCAAGGTCTCCTCTGTGAATAGTAGGTGGTCTAAGATGTCTGTGTTTCCTGCAGAAACTTCTTCATTTGTAAATTAGAATTTCAGTCACGTCTCTAGCTGATTTCAAGGCAAAATGGCGCTTTTGGAGAATTTTTTTCCTCTTCTAAAACTTAAGCTTTAAATATGAAAAGTGGACCAAGATCAACTTAAGAATTATACATATATTTTTCTTGAAAATTCATTTCAGCTCTACTAGATCTCTAAATGGACTTAAGTCACAAAGAATCTTAAATATAGTTGTCAAAAACCTTTGTTTTGAGTGGCGCTTCAGAGACCTTCACCAATAGCACACTACTTGTTCATTTGAGTAGTGATTCTTTAGTGGGTCAGGAGCCTGCTCTTTGAAATGGCGGCGTAACTTTCTTGAACAGCCTTTTCCCTTCCATTTGCATGACCTACAAACGTTCTGTACCTGGTTATCCACTGTATGTGATTTCCCAATGCAGAAAGGAAGGTATCAAATTCTCTTGAACACTTGAGAAGAAACACAACAGATTGAATGCCCATTTGATGATGTCACAAACTTCACCTGTATCTGCCAGCTGATTAACTGTTGGAGTGTTTTGGGGCCTGTGTTGTGTAAAAGTATATGAGGTAGGTGTCTCAGACACTTCTGAATTAAGAGATGCTTTTCTTGCTGGCTGGACTCAAACCCAGGTGTGGGTCCCTCTAGAGCCATATTGCTATGTAAGCAGGGTGGAATTTTGCTTTCATTTGAAGGTCCCAGGTAATGAATGAGCCAGAAGATATCTCATTACAACATAAGGAGCATGTTGCCACTTTTTTTTTTTTTGAAATTGTTTTTTTCCATCTGTTGATAGTAGTTGCTGAAAGGAATGAAGAAATGGGGCAAGTTACCAGGTACTCTACAGAAGGATCTCTGGTGCAGAGTTTTTCTGACATTGCAGGAAGTCCTGGTTGACAGGAGGGAAAAATCTCAAAGGAAATGTGCTACCTCTCACACTTTCATTGCTTCTCTTGCATGTCTCAACTTGCAGTGTATACACCGTTCTCATCCTGCCTTTGGGTTGAGTCAGTACAGAAAAGAAAAAGCTGAGATTGTTTTGAAAAATGCTATCATTTTAATTCTTGAATTTTTCATTATTCTTTGGGTTACAAGAAATGCTTTTCATCTCTTGTCTCTCCATTCCCCCTCCCTCAGTCAAGCACAACACAATGTACCTCTTGTTCCCTCACTAAGTGTTGCAGCCTTTTAATGACCTTTCACTTGCTCACACCGGTGAGATAGCATAGCTGAAGTTGAAGATACCATGATATATGCATCTACTATTTTCCTT